CCGGAAAATAACACCTCCCCCAAAATAAGCACACACACACCCCAAGCTACTGTAACTCTGTATATAGATTCTGGACCATAGTAGTGGGTGCTGCCCCGCGGCAGCGCAGCCAGAGCAGACAGGAAGTGCGAGGTCTCTTTTAATAAAACAATAAACAATAAATGTGTGCCGTATTCTTCTTCATGGAAAAATAAGACATCCCCTGAAAATAAGACCTAGCGCATCTTTGGGAGCAAAAATTAATATAAGACACTGTCTTATTTTTGGGAAACAGGGTACTTCAAGTCACCCTCAGTTTCTGCAGGCAAAGCTGAAGGATTATAAAGAGACTTCCCCAGCTTTTTCTCCCCCAAAGATATGCCAAATATTAGAGGCTATTAGCCAGCTCATGGTGGGAGGTCAGATGCTTAGAGACATCCCTACTGAAGGCAGTCAGTTGGGAGACAACTGTCTGGGCCCATCACAGGTAGAGCCCACTCCCTGCTGTTAAGGACAATGAGTTACTTCTCCCTAAAGGCTTGTGACCATTAGCCTGGTCCCTGTAGGTGGAGTTTACACCCTACTGATAATGGTTTCTATGGAGATCCAGAGAACAGGTCAAACCTGCTCAGTGACATTCAAAGTTAGGCTGCCAGCCTGAATCTAGGATCCATCCATCTTGTCACATGTATACCCCCAATCCCTCCTCTTCCTATTGCATGTATAGCAGTAGATTGTCCCCCTCTCATTGCTGTATAAGCTATAGTGTAACCCCTTCCTGTGACGCATGTCTTTACCTGTAATTAGTGGGCTTGCACGCCCCACAAAGATATATAAGCCTTGGTTAGCAATAAAGATCCCCCTTGGCCTTGGCACTTCCTTTCCTCTCCCCATCCTCACTCCCCTGTTCCCTTTCCTCTTGTCCTCCTTCCCCTGCCCCACTCTCTTGCCCTCCCTTCTCCCATCTCCATGGGGCCCACCAAGCCAGGTTGAGGTGAGCATGCTACCATGAAATGTGTCTGACTCCATTATTTCAATGTCTCCTCTATCGCTCGTGCTATCTATGACCATACAATTGAGCCTATAGAACCAGTGATTAGTTGTGGGGGGCTGGCCTTTCCCCCACACAGTTTTTCCATCTTCATTCTCTAGGTTGTTAATATGCCTTGCTCCAATCCAATCCATGTTTTCTTATATAATCCAGTTTCTCATATCGCTTCCGTAGTTTACAGATTGAGCAAATATGGTAAAAGTCCACATGTGTGTGCACACCTTTTCCTGATTTTAAACCATAAAGCATTCCCTTGTTCTGCCTGGATGACTGTCTCTTGATCCATGTAAAGGTTATGCATAAGCAGAAGGAAGTGTTATGGACTTATTATTCTGAATATTAGCCATAGTGTGTTATGAATCATACACCATTTGGCATACTCCACAAAACACAAGTAAATATGTTTCTAGTAATCTCAGCTTTGAGCTAAGATCCATATGAAGTCAGCAATAGTATCCCTATTCCATGTCCTCCTCTGAATCTGGCTTTAATTTCTTACAGCTCCCTGTTGATGTACTGACACAACCAATGTTGAATTACTGTCAGCAACATTTTTATTACATGGGGTATCAATATCATCAAACACTTTCCTCATCCTATTGGGTTACTTTTCTTTGGAACCAGCAAAATATTAATGTCTTCCAGTCAAGTGGCTAGGTATCTATCTTCCCGATTTCTTGGAAATTAGTTGTTAGATTGCTTCATCAGTTTGTTGAAACATTTCAGTTGGTGAGATAGTTTATTGTGCCAGCCTGGCCGATAAACACAAGTGGGATTAACTGAAGGGCAGAGAGATAAATACCTTGGCGAATCTCGCCTTTGTTGTCTCCTGCTCGTTGATCATCGGACCAGTGTGCGGCTGCCTTGCTTGTCCTGTGCCTCAATTTAAAGGCTACACTACCTGTGGGACGCCTCGCCTGTGGACCGTGTTGCTGTAAGTTGAGGTCCCTTTAAGACATTGCTGGAGCTGGGGACTGGCAGTTGGTGACCTGGCTGGCAGTTGGTGACCTGCCTTCTCATTCGCTGCTGTGCTGACATAACCTAGCTCTCTCTATAAATAGAGGAAGATCTGGCAGCAGATTGGATGAGAAGGACTGCTAGTCTCTCACAACTCTGAGCCATTGTAGTGCTTATAATTTAACTGTTCGTTTCTTATATATTTATCTGTATATAATTTAACAGTTCATTTCTTGTTATATATCTAATTATCTTTATAAATAAATATATTTAATTATCAGCAATTTGGTTTTATCTCTCCTAGAGAACCCTGTCTAACACAGTTGGTATTCTATCGATTCCTGAAACCTTATTTTTCACTAATGCCATCAATGTAGCTTGGCTTTCTTCCTTCAATACCATCAAGTTTTGACCATATGCTATCTCTTAAAATGGTAAAATGCTCACTAGGGTTTTGTTTCATTTTTCTGCACAGTGGTAGTACATTCTTTCCATCTTGTTCTGTTGCTTCCGGCATCATCCACTATTTTCCCTATGGAATCCTTCAATATGACAATTCAAGGCTTGAATTTTTTTTATGGCTTTATAACTCAAAATATTTTCACATTTTATTATAATACTCTATTTTGCCTGTTCAAGCCACCTTTCAAATTTCCAGTCAACTCTCATGTCATCATTTCTTCACTTTGATTTCAATATTCTATGGCTTGATTCTGCTGCATGAGCAGAAACCAATGGGTTGTGAGGATGAGAGGCCAAAGACCAGAGGCTTGCTACTCTGTCTAAATAACTCAATCATGATCATTTGTAACAAATTACCTTCCTTAATAAAACCTATGATATCTGTGAGTTCTGTGTGTCCACTGTAATAATTAACGAACACAGGTGAAAGGTTGAGAGAGCTACAGGAAGGGCAGCTGGTAGTGTGGGGCGTGTCTGACCTCAACCTCAGAGAAACTGCCTTGAGTGACACTGAGGTGGAGTTTCCTTTTCCTTCCCCATGCACAGCTGAAGGGCCGGCGGCATGCCCATATTCATTTTAGCGGAGAGTGGTCTATTTCCAAATTGTTTACCAGGAGTCTGTGTCAGCATGCAGCTCCAGGAGCACTAGTGAGGGCCCTATTACTCCACATCATCTCCAACTGTGGATATTATGAAAGAGTTCATTAAATTTTACCACCACGATGAGATAAAAATGGACAATTATGGTAACTTTATGTTCTGGATGAATTGTGTGTTTAGTATGATGTGTGTGACATTTCCTTTGATCTTCACAGTGTTCATATTTTTAGAAACAATTTCTTACATATACAACTTTAAAATCTACATCACTTTATGTCTTCTCACTATTTTGAATCCTCCAAAGGAGTCCTAGGGAACGGAGATTAAAACACACACTTTACCATGGCCTAGGTGATCCCATATGATCAATCCGCTGCTTCCTTCTTGTTCTTCATTGAGAATAGATCCCTTCACTTACTGACGTGTCCAAATACACTGCCTTTGTACTATTACTGGACTCTGTTAGTTTGTCTCTACCTCCTAGATAAGATGGAGGGACACAGTGGCTGCAACAATAGGATCAGATATGGGAACAACTGGGAGGATGGTGCAGGACCGCAGTGTTTTGTTGTCATAGACAGGGTCACTATGAATCGGAACTGACTCAGTGGTACCTCCACCAGCACCAGCACCAACACCAGTTCTAGATCAGTATGCCCCAGAGGGAATACTGCCCCCGGGGGCAGGCAGGTGCTGGAACAAGTAGGGGGGACTTCAAAAGCAGATACCTACACTTTATGCTGGATAGTGGGCTGCAGTACAAAAGTTTTTAATTCCTTGGTATAGTGCTGAGAATTTTGTTTGTTTGTTTTTCTGAAAAGGGGCAAGTAAGCCAAATAAGACTAAGTTCTCAACCTTATTTGGCCCATTGCCCATTTTTCAGGAAAAACAAGGCCTCTGCACTACCTGCACCTTTGTTCTTGCTGCTGCTTTCACCTGTGATGCTTCCCAGTGCCCAGTTCTCGCGTATTTCATATTCCACCAGGTGTGTTCTTGTGCAGTCAATGGCCTCTTCTCAGAGCAGCCTTAATAAACAAAATCTATAGGTTTTCAGTCATTCTCTATCACATTACTTTAATCTACTTTCCTCAAAATACTTATTATTCTCTGATATTTGATTGTTAAAAAGTTATTATCTATTCCTACATTGCTATACCTTGCTCTATGAAAACCAAGCATAAATGGGAGGTGGCGTGTCTCATTTACCACATACTTCACTGATATGCTGTCTGTTTTGGTATCTAGAAGATGTCCAGTAAACATTGTTGAATAAAACAAGTAAAAGAAAGTACATATTATTGAAGCAAACAGACTGGATAATATCGTCAACATGCTATTTCTAGCTCAGAGCCCGGGTGGTATAGTGGGTTATGAGCTGGGTTGTTATCCACAAGGTCTAGTAGTTTGAAAGTACATACTGCTTCACCCAGAGAAAGATGATACTTCCTGTTCCCATAAATAATTACAGTCTCGGAAACCTACTAGGGCAGTTCTAGCCTGCCCTACTCTGTCCTATATGACTCAGAATTCACTCGACGGCAGTGAGTCAAGGTTTTTGAGAAGGCCTGTATGAGGAAGGTTCAAAAAGTGCATGGAAATCTGGTATGGTAAGATAATGATATTTTCCATGAATGTTTTACGTCTCCTAGTATTTCTGATGAGTACACTGGGAATAGCATGTTTTGTCTACTGACTGTTCTGGGCATTATGACAATGTAGGAAATGCTACTAACAAAATGCCAGGCAATTCTATAGCTAATTAAAATATCAAAAGCATTCCTACTATAATGCAGTCTAACTTCATGAACATAATTATACATTGTATACTTATCTACATAAGTATAGATAAGCTAATATAAGTATATTATAAGTCAATATAAGTATAGATATTGTAAAACATACAATAAGTATAGGAAAGAAAATACCAAATTCAGAATACCCTTACACTTACCTGTCAACAATCACAGGAGATTGGGTGGATTCTTTAGCTATTTCAGAAGCCACAATATAATTGCCCAAAGAGTAAAAAGCTCTTCTTATGATAGTTGGTTCATCATCAAAGATTTCTCTCCAACGGGCAACAGAAGGTGGTGGTGACTTTAAGAGGACAGCCTTCAGTGAATCCGCAACAGACTGGGTCACTGTGGTTTTACCTAAAGATCATGTATAAGATGGTTATATCAGTAACGGCCATCATAGTCATGCCCAAAGTTAATAGTAACTTAGTGCACAGGCACTATTTCAACCAGTACATTGAGAGTTGACACCACTTCATAAAATGTTCCAAAACCATATAATTCTAGGTTTCTTCTTTTTGACATTAGAATAGTTTGAAGAAAACAAAATGAAGTGAAGATAAAGTTGGATATGTAGTTCCAGGGCCCCTATTATCAAGTTGGCTTCATGTTCCATAATTAGCTTCTCCCTCCCACTGGATATTCTCTCCTATTCCATCTACATGCAATGAGTCTTCAGGGTATCCTCAACCATTGCATCTACATGGAAGCAATGCCTTTCCATGTCCCTTCCTATACTTAGTTCTTCACACTTGGGTTCCATATCTCATTCCCTGCCCCACCCCACCCCCATTCCAATTCTATCACTCTATCCTGCTCTTTGGGCATGGCTTTCAGTATGTGGGTTTGGGTTTCAGGTCGTTCCTCAAAGTTAAGGTTTCATCTTTGCCTCATTTTCCGAATTCTCTCTGTACATCCCCAGGTGACGTAGTTGCCAGGATGCATCTCATCCTCTTTGCTGACATCTGCAGCACAGGAGGGTAATGATGTGAGGGCAGTTCCCTGAGAGACACCATTCTCCCCCTTGTCTGAGGCTAGGCATTTCTTTCCTGTGTCTCACACTGAACACTTAATTATCAACCACTTATTCTTTTTAATTTTCTAGAATTTCTCAAAAACATAATACTTTCAGTTATTGCTCAGAGTCTATTTTTAGAAAATACATAGTATGCTTCCAGTTTTCATAATAACACTACAAAAAAATTGTCTTACAGAAGAAGAGAGTAAGCTTGGAGAATTAAACAAATTTACTAAACTGGTCACAATAATAGAAACTGAAACCATAATTCGAACACACTCGCATGAGAGCTGGAGTCAAGAGCCTTATTCTTTCCACTGTTCTATTAATAGTTCAGTGTTATTGAGCCAGTTCTAACTCACAGAGCCCCTATGGACAATACAATAAAACCCTGCCTCATCTTGCACTGTCCTCACAAGTGTTGTGGTCTGAGCCGAGAATTGTAGCCACACCCGGTAACATAGTGGTTACCTGTTGGGCTGTGATCCGAGTGGTGGACAGTTCAAAAGGGAGAAAGACTGGGCTTTCTATTCCTGGAAACAGTTTGGGATACCCATAGGGACTCATTATGAGTCAGCATTGACTCGGTGGCAGTGAGCGAGTGTTAGCCCATCTCATAAAGGGGTTTCTTTTTCTGCTGACCTTCTACCAAGGAGGATACCTCAGGGAAACCTTCTCCAGGAATCCGTCCCTTCTAATAACATGTCCAAAGAACAGGAAACAATGTCTAGCCAACCTCACTTTTAATGAAGATTCTAGCTGTACATCTTCACTACTCCATGACTTTTTATATATGAATAGGTGTGTGTACTTGATGACATATATGATTACACATGCATATTGTACATATAAACACATATATTGTATATGTATATATGATCATGTATAGTCACCCTTTGTGTTGTTGAAAAGGGTATCTGTAATGAAGAAGTCATTGCCCCTAGTTCATTATGGAAGAAGCACACCAGCCTGTATGATTCAAGGATTGTAAATAATAAGACCCAAAACTGAAAGAGGGAATGGTATCAGAGCTTAAATTCTGAACACTCAGTTTGCAGAAGGCTGTGGATGACAGTGAAAGCCCAAAATAAATTTCCCGGGTCCACCTCCATTGAAGATTCAAACAGCTTTGTTATCAGGCAGAGACCACTGTAAAGTTGATTATGGTAAAAGTTGTTAGGTTAAAATATAATATCTTGTCATTTGATTGCCCTTTTGAAACATTTTAGAGTTATTCCAGCTTTTAATATTTTCTGTGCTCTCTTCTGTTGAGATTTTCCTATGTTTCAGCTAGTCATTGTTGTTTGCTTCCTGTTAGTATTTTATGATTTCTTTATATGAAATCCAGGATAGGTAAATCTATAGGGATAACAACTGGACTAATAATAATTATCTAGGGCAGCAGTTCTCAACCTGTGGGTCGCGACCCCTTTGGGGTCAAATGACCCTTTCACAGGGGTGGCCTGATTCATAACAGTAGCAAAATTACAGTGATGACGTAGCAACAAAAATAATTTTATGGTTGGAGGTTACCACAACATGAGGAACTGCATTAAAGTGGTCTTGGCATTAGGAAGGTTGAGAACCACTAATCTATGGCATGGCAGAGGAGGATGGGGGGAAATAGGGAGCTAACAACAATTAGTATGAGAAGAAAATTTCTGAAATTGATAGTGGTGACAATTGCACAACTTTTCTTAATATGACTGAATGGTTCAATTGCATGACATGCAAAGTATATACCAATAACACTGTTCTTTATAAAAGGAGTTGTTAAGTCTTGCAAAATTCTATCATGCTTTCTCAGCTTCATACATGATATATTTTTATAAATGACCAGTTCATATTGTTGCCTGTAACATAATAATAAGGCTCTCTTACCAGTGGCATCCAGACCTTCTATGACAATGACTGGGAACTTTCCCTTCTGGACCTGCTTTGGGCATTGGTTGACCAAGTCAAGCACCACTTGAGCTTCAGGAATAAAGGATGTGCACTGTAAAACAGATATATCCATCAACAGTGAGGATGATTCAAAGCCTTGTCTAAATTAGTTGGCAGGATTGTCGTCTAAGAATAAAGGCATGCCAGACAAGTAATTCCACTGTGTATTGGCAGCTGAAGCTGAAAAAGCAACTTCATCTGGAACACTGCATCCCTGCTGAGGCAGGCCACATGAGCACACAGACCTGGGCAACACTGGAACTGCACAGGAGGCCCAGCTGGGAGAACCGATCCTGTCCCTCACAACAATTTTTAAATTATTTGAAAGCCATAAATAGACTTTTCAAACAAATGAAATCACCATTATCTGAATAATATCCTTTTAAAATGTTCAATTTCACTTCAGAGCCACATGCAAATACTGGAAGGGCTACATAAGGGTCTTGAACCACACTTTGCAGCTATCCTACTACTCCATTACAGATTAGGGAAACTGAGGTAAAGATTGTTTTTAAAACCTGATGGCTGTGATGCTAGAGTCGAGCCCCCAATAGAATGATTAAAAAAAAAAAAAAAAGCTAGAGTTGAGATCCAACGTAATGTCTCCAGGACTCTTGTAAAATTAACTTAAGATCCACTGGGCTTCCTTAGGACAACCCTAAGCACTCCCAGACCCAGCCCAAGCTGTGGCCTGAAAGGATCTCATTCACGCCACACTTTCTGTGTATCAGATGTTTCCTCAACGGCAGGCATGTGACAACAATGCTTGGTGGGTATTTGACAAGTAAACTGGGAAGGAGGGCTTAAGAATAGTTGGGAAACTTCCCAGAAGCAACAAAGCCCACATGGAAGCAGCACACCAACATGTGTGATCATGAAGGGCCAAAGGGACCAGGCTCTAAACACCAGAGGGGGGGAGGGGGAATCATATCCTCATCAATGAGGGTGGTGCGTGATGGAGACCCAATGCCCATCTCTAGACAATTGGACATACCTTCCAGAGGGGTAGTGGGGAGATGAGTCACTTAGGGTACAGTATAGCAATAATGAAACCCACAACCTTCCTCTGGTTCTTAAACGCTTCCTCCCGGCAACTAC